TCTGGGTCCAGGTTCATCATCTTGACTGTCATCACTAAATGAAGAGCTAGCATCCTCTTGTCTTGTTGCCTCATCATCATCATGCATTTCAATACTACTTGTCTCACTTTCATTATCTTCTAAGCTATCTGAGTTAAGTACATTAAGCATATTTACATAGTAATTAGGATTACTACTCGATGTTCAAGTGATGCGGCCATGGTTGGTGTTCAGTTTTGTACATTTCTCTTAGGCATCTTGTTGGTTACCGAAGGGTTGAGTGGAAAACATTGAGGAAAACCATATATCAACATTAGGTGGGATACCAATAAATACTTTACAACTCACTTTACTCTCATATGTCACGCATGGCAATTTTGAATGACAAAGGTAAACATTTGTCTCAGTTGCAATGGAAGGGTTAACAAAAAAAGCTAAATGTGAAAATTAGAAGTCTGTTAAGGTAGGTAACAAAAAAGTATATGAAAAATTAAATAAAACATTTCATAAGACCAACTTGATCAAACTGTGACATGTGATTGTAACTTGATTGTTTACACAAAGTCCTTCAGGTGTGGTTAAATGTCTGTCATGTACTTAGATCAAGGCTAAAGGGCATTGTAAAGTAATAAAATTAAAAGCAAGCAGATGTGTGAAAAGGTTAGAAAACTGAGACTGTTTGGATAGATAATTGTCTGTTTGAATCTGCAGTCATTGAAGAAAAAAATTGTATTATTGATTTTATTTTGTTTAACTACATAGCACAATAATGATTTTGCTACAGTTAGTGTTAGGGTAGTGAAAATAAGAGATAAAATATAAAGTTTTACTAAAAACTTGATATTTATTTAGCAAGTCATAGATATAATGCAAAAGAAACGTGAAAATAATAAGATAAAAATTGTTTTTTATTTTTACCTTGAAAATTACCTATATTTCACACTGATTCTGCAAAGGCTTTGTGAATTTACATGTAAGTCTTCAGTAAAGTACTTTATTAAAAAAAATTGATTTTTTTTAGTACAAGTTTGTGAAATTTCATGAAGATACTCTTGGTAAATTTAAAACTATATTAAGAATTGTTATTTATAGCTTCACAGATATGGAGTCAGTCTAGTGGACTGACACCACTCATAAATTATTAAGGGACAATTAGGACTGTAAATACAGTATTGTGTTGTATGTTATTCCTATTATTTTAGATCTAGAAAAAAAAACTGGTTTATGATTTTACTGTAATCATCATATCTTGATGACTGATACACATGACAATACCTTTGAGAATAAATAATATTATTCATAGCAATTATTATTTTAAAATCTGGTTAAATATGAATATGTACTATCATACAAGAAAATTTAAACCATGTTGAAATATCAAGGTTTTATTGAACAACAAGGTTTCCAGTTCTTTGAAGAGCTCTTTATTGGGTAGAATGCAGGAGTGAACTGAGAAGACATTAAAATATGGATTTCAAGTGCTAAACTGACCTCCTGTTCACTATAGGAAGGGCAGGTTATAGGCATCATAGCTTGCTTGCATCCTGTTGCTGAACTGTTGGCATCAGTTAATAGCATATGTTATTGTTTTCTGTGTGTTATGCTGTCACATCACAGTAGTTTTCTTTCAATTTTAATTGTTTTTATCTTCCAAGTGAATTATATATATTTTAACAGGTTATTTTCTTGACAAACATTATACACTTATACTGAATAACCCTCTATTATCTTTAAAACCTTTGTTAGCTTTCTAATTCTATGACATTATTCTTTTTTATTTTAAATGTTAGGATTGGAAAGTGTGCTTTGATAAACCTAAAGCACACTTCATAAGGAAGGAAAAAAAGTATGTGGTAATTGTAGAAGTGCCAACCCCAACCACTTTCATCAATTATTATTATGCCCCCACTGCTAGAGTGGGTCATATTGGTTTTTCCCTGTTCATCACAATTTTGTAGACAGGATATCTAGATTGGATGGGTGAATTTTGATGAAGCTCATATAACAGGTACTACATTACAACACTCTATATCTAATTAAGTTTTGTAGGTTGTGAGCCAAGGGTCAAGATGAATTATATTGCAGAAGACTTGAATATACAGCAACACATTAGTTGGGAATAGATGTTTCATGAACGCAAATTTCACTTCTTTTTATTTATTTTTGTGGTATATACTTGAAGTAACCTGTTAACTTCACTTGTTTTATTTATTTTTATAATATATACCGTATTTTTTGGTGTATAAGATGCACTTTCTTACCCCAAAATTTGATGTCAAAATCTGCTTGTGTCTTAAACACCGAAGGTATGAATAATATACATGTATGTATATATATATACAATATACACAAGCCATGTGTAAATATATGTTATATGCATAGTTTTGTTCAATTGAATGTGTTATTTATAAAAATAGTAGTTTTTTCTTTTAAACACATAACTATTTATAATGCTCCCTAAATACTAATAATTATAATAATAAATAATAATAATAAAATTACAGTGAAAACAATGAAGATTTTGTAGGTTTTGAACCAAACTAGATAACAGTAAACCTTTTTTTGATTTACGGTGTTTTCTTATTTTGATGTTTTGAGCTCTTTTGTGCTTAGAACAATATATACTAATTTTTGAAGTATCAAATTGAATTTTTGTTCAATAAAAATCTTTCAAATACGACTGTAGCTTTTTTTTTCCCCTAAACTTTGTCTTCAAAATAAGGGTGCGTCTTATATTTCGAAAAATATGGTACTTGAAGTAACCTGTTCATTTCACTTGTTTTTATTTATTTTTATAGTATATACTTGAAGTAACCTGTTCATTTCACTTCTTTTTATTTATTTCGAAAGTATATATTTGAAGTAACCTGCTAATTTCACTTGTGTTTCATCATGCCATAATTATTTTATTTTATTTTTCAATATGTTTTTGCTTTTTATCACTTGAAACAAATATTGTTTTGATTCAAATATCAGTTTATGTTACTGTTGTGTCTCTGTTCGTTTGTTAATTTCTGGTATAAATTCTTTCTGAGAAACTTCAGAGATACAAGTCCTTTCTTAATTAAAACTAGTTTATTCTTTCTTGATACAACTTTGCAATACATAGAATTTCCACAGTCACTTTTACTTAACTACTTTTATAAACAGACACTATAATTCACAGCGATTCACACACTTTACTTACGGTGCCTACTGTTTGCTTGACTCAGTTATTTCTATATTCAATCTATCTGCGTATGCCCTTATATACTAAAAAAGAAGGCATCAAGCAAATACTGGGATATTCGTGAGATTCCCCGATAAGTCATGATCCTTCAAGAATCTCATCACGGGTTACCAGCGTCACGTGACTTCCGCTGTCAAAACATTACGTTTTTGTAATGTATTAACAGAGATTAAAAGTTGATCCAAAGTTATTGTATATCATTGCTGAACCTCGGGAAGTGTGTTAACACAATAGAAGAGTTTCAAATAGTCTTATTTGTAATCATCTTTCATAATAATATAATGTTACTACAATATGAAATTGTTCAAGCTCCTTCAGAATAAAACTATTAATGGGGGGTAAATCCAGACTCCAAAAGTAGGGAGAAGTGACTTCTCCCTCCAGGTGCCAACAGAGAGAAATTTTCTGGAAATATGGAAACTTCACATTTTTGTACCAAATGCATTAAACTACGTTTAATAAAGGAAATGTTGTTTATTTAGGGGTTAATTGTTTATATTATGTGTGTGTATCATTATGTGATTATGATTCTATTTTTTTTAAGATAAACTTTTTCCTTTGGAATCTAAGAAAAACATTAATTTTTTTTGCAACTTTAATCAACAAATTCTGTCTTCATTCAAAGTAACATCAAACCACTTATTAAATTCACTGTGTTTTCCTATCTTTTCTATTTTGTTTTTTTAAATCTATGTTTTGAATGCATGTATTAATTTGCAGACTTAAAAGATTTTTCATGCCTACAGACATGTGCATTGCTTTTTTCTGCATCTTCACAAATTAAGCAATGTCAAAATCCCTTGGTATCTTACACATACCAACTGAAGTCATTCTGATTCAAAACTTTGGGGAACCTTTTTTTTGTCTCTTTGTTCTCTAATTTTTCATTGGCTTTTCATTTCTTGACAGAATTTGACTCGGATTTTTCCATATGTTTTATGACTAGCCAATTTGCTAGAGACATTTCTGAGCAACTGCAAAATACCATTATTAGCAGCAATATATGAATTTCATTTGATTGCATGATTAAAATACAATTATATCATTAAATTAGTGAATAAAGGCAATTTAAAATGATACTGCTTTATGGTACTTACCTTGTATAAGTAACAATTACCTTCAGTGAAAAACAATCCAATCAAAAATACAACAATCTGTGTGCTTAAAAAGACACATGACACCCTTCCCAATCATTTTCAATACCCATCTGTAATCTCTAATGATAATTAATCCAGCAATGTCTGTTAATACAATATACAATCAACTTTTATTAAATCTGAGATACAGACTTTTAGTAAGGACTGATGTGTTTAATTGGGAGATTATGGTTAAGTATGTAGCATCTCGGCCATTTGATTGGTTTCTGTTGAAAGTTAGGAAACTAAGTGTGTAATGATACTGTTTTTTGCCTTTGTCATGGCAGGTGACTTACTGAATTGAAAAATAAAATTAACTTGAATTTAGCCACTGGAGGAAGTGTGAAGTCAGAACTTTGAAGAAGAAATTTAAAGGCACTTCACCTAGTTGTGTGGCCCCTGTATTAATGATCAGTTTTTAAGAACATCATAAGCATGTATTATTATTTATTTTTTCATTAAAAATGCAGACAAAAGCTTTAACACAATTTACAGCTTTTAACTGTATGTAGAGGAACAGCCTTTGGTTTTACATCTGTTGTTGAATTTTATAATAGTTTGACGGAAATAAATTTGGATAGAAAGATTCAAGGATATACTAGTTCTTACTGTTTATAATTTGTTTTAGTCACACTAGATATTTTAATAATTAACAGGAGCTTCAAGTGACTTGAAACAAGCTACTGCTTTAGCTACACAGATGGTAAAGGAATGGGGTATGTCTGATAAGGTAATGTTGTTTTTTTTCCCATATTTTGTGATCTCAGTATGAAATTTTTCATTTTTGTTTCGTAATAGTACTTAAAATAAGAAAATTATATTTGTTAAACTTTCCACACACCTCAAAATTAATAAAACCAATTGTAGCACAGACTTATAATTTTATGTAGTCTTCTTTTTGTCATGAAAATGCACACACACACACACACACACACAAAATTAAAACTGTTATATTTGTTGATTCAGTTTCTGCTGTGTACATATATATATATATATGATTTCAGTAATTGGAAACTTGGCTGCATGAAGTGATATTTTTAGGCTAGTTTGTTAACCCTTTCATGACTGGTGAGAGTACCTTTGAGGTGTTGAGGGTACATCTATATCAAACTTAAGAATTAAAGTAAAAATAATAACTCTTAACTATTACAAAACTATAATTCATCTTTTGTCATTTGGTAACATTTATATAGTGTAATTGATATAGAAATGAAATAATGTTCTAACTTAACTAACTGAGATGCCTTACATGTGAATAATGCACTTATTAAATTTTTTTACTATATTTCATCCCATTCCAAAACATAGTTTTATTGTTACTAAGATAGTGATCATTTTTTGCATATGATATTTTTGCCTTGTATATGATTGAATAAGTACAATTGCCATGACTCTTATTCTTTTTTCATGCATCAGTACATTGATCTTCAAGTGTCATTTTCTAATTTGATACTTCTGGAGATGATTATCTTTCTGTCATGTTGAGTTCACCAATGGAAAAGTGTTAGGTCTTTGGATTTAAAACACTAAAATCAGGGGTTTGATTCCCCTTGGTGGACACAGCAGATAGTCTGATCTGGCTTTGCTATAAAAAAAAAACATACACACACTCTCATATTGGTTCCTGAATGATTTTCTTGTGCTAACTTATGACAGATAGACATTCCATAGAACACTTATGTAGTAAGCTTGATGTGTCACATGGTAGGTATTTTCTCATGATCATGTTGTTCAAGTGTGAGAGCTTTCATATAGAGATTTGTGGTGATCTAGACATTATTATACATATCTGATTGGATAAACCAAATTCAGAAATTCTCTGAACCTTTCCCAATTCATCTGGATAGAGAATCAAAGAATTAGTTTTCCAGGTGTTGTTTGACATTATCTTCTAATATTTATGGTCGCAGGTGATAATTGGCTTGACCCTTCCATTACAGGCTGGGTGGAATCTACCCAGCTCGAAACCAGGAAGTATCTATAAGAGTAACTGTACTATAATTTTTGAAAATGTATGCAAGTCTTTATAAAATTTTACTGATTATTAGTAAACATTACAAGGATTTCATACACAAAATACCTGGTTTTTGAATTATGTTTTAAAATTTTTTTTATTAAAGATTTAATCATGAATTTTTTCTTTCAGGATGTTGACTATCCAATGTACAAAGTAATTTTGATTTTAAAATTAAAAATACTTTTATTTATCTGAAATTTGTCAAATTTCATTTATGTAATCTCTATATCCTTCTATATAATCATCAAACGTTTTTTGAAATAAAACTTTATATTTAATCTGTTATTTTATCAATATTAATGCTATATGGTGTTCATTGATTTTGACCGACCTCATAACCATCATAAAAATTAGGAAATAAATCTAAATTACCTTCTTTGTTCTAGAATAACTGCAAATTGTAATAGAAACCACAAATTTTATTCTAAATCACTTTAAATCTCTTAACACTATAGATCTATTTATATTTATTAATTTTTGTTTTATTGATCTTTGAACCATGTTTGTCAAAAATACCCTGACAGAAGTTGAAAAATAAACAGTGCGCATACATCGACATGACCCTATCGAACAACGTAATTCAGAAGCTTCTCTACTACTTACGATGCTACAAAGTCATTGTTTGCACTCATGAGCAATACTTTGTAGACTTTATATAAGCATTTTGGAATACAAAAAAATTATAAATTACTATACCAATACCCCAAAAATCCACTGTAATTTATCAGGCTTCCTAATTAAATTGTATTTGGGTCTAAAAAATTATAATTTCTATTCACAACAAAATAGTCTTGATAGCAATACTTCAAACTTTCCAATGATATAAGAACATTTCTCTCGTAAGTAAGTTAGGAAGACAGACAGAATTATCTAGAATAAATATATAGCTTTCGATTGATTATAAAGTTATTGGTATATAAAAGTAGGCGTAGATAAATAAGTTTTCTCAAATGATGAAGTGGTGGGCAGAGCCAATATGGTGGTTCACTAAATATCATATCTCAGCAAATAGAAAAGATAGGAGGTTCTTATTTTATATTCTAGCTTGTCAATATCAAACATTTGAGTTTCTTATTTATACGAAACTACAGATTTTGTATTGTGGGCATCATAAAATGTAATCTGACCAAACCCGGAAGGCCACGCAACACACAAAAATCAATATTTAGCCCTTTTTCTTAAATATTTAGTTTCATATTAAGAAACTAACTAATATATAATACTAAAATTTGAATTGTAAGCTACAGTTTCATACCAAACTTATTGACATAAGATCATGAAATAGTAGTTCAATAACATTTTGAATGTAAATCTACAAACACAATGACATGCTCTCTGACCCCTACCCATCTCGATAGGGTTAATACCCACCTTCAGGAAGTCAGCACACATTCTGATAATGGGTAGATAAAAGTGATCATGTCATGACTTTTAAAAGTAACCTTCAAGATTTAATTAAACTACTTTGTTTTGTATGCACGTCAAAATGTAGTTAATTAATCAAATTTCAATATTATATTACTTTTAAATTCTTAATTTTAAAAGGATATAATTACGTTCTCAATCTTCTTTTTTGTATATCATTTTTTCATTCCATATTTCACATTTTTTAGATAATCTTGCCATTCTTGTAGTACAGGTATTGATAGGATATAAGTTAACTTTATAGCCTTCAGTTATTTTGTTTTGCTTAGTTGTAAACTAGAAAGTCTAACCTACATGCCATACTCTGCCATCATATACTGTCTTTCAAAAAATATCAATGATTCTCTGATGTTTGCCATTATATTATTTACAACCAATAAAAAGAGAAGATATTAATTTACTGATTGACAAATAATGCTTTCTTGTTCTTGTGACAGCTTTTGAATTATTTGGCATATAAATTCAAAGTTGCTATCACTGAGTATAACTCAACCAGCCAAGAGCATTACTTTAATGTACTTATAGCTTAATTGGAAAGCTAGTTAAAATTATGATAGTTATATTACATTGTATACTTTTTACATGTTATTATTTTATGTTCTAATTTGAATACTTGAAATAAATAAATATTTAGTAAAGTACTAACAACAACCTTAGCAAAAGTTAAGGTTAACTTTTATTGGCACTTCAAATCTCTGACTGCAAAAATCTACAAGATCCATACATAAGTACTAAATTTCTTGTTTTTATATATATTTTTTATTTAATGATATAAAAATAACTAAAATGTACAAACTACAAACTTATTAAGCTAGATAAGAAAACATGTATGAAAAGAATACCGAATAAGAAAAATTTGTTTGGCAAGATATGCATGCCAGCTGCACGTGCATTAAGTAATTCTATATTTTATTTTACTGTAACTTGAGCTATTTGCTTGCTGGATACTTAAAGCTTTTGTTATACATTTTTAGTATTCAGACACAGTTCTAAGAACAATAAAACAATAAAAACATGTAAACTGTTATGAGCCTAAGGCTATTTAGGATAAATAATTTTAATACTAGCTGGAGTACCCATACCCTGGATGGAAGTTATGTAAATTCATGATTAATGAAAGGTTATCTTAAGAAATGAAAAGATGCTTATATGTAATTGTAAAAAAAAAAAATAGTGAAACAGCAAATTTGCATGCATTTCTGCATGGACCCAACAAACCTTCATGCCAAATTTGGCGAAGATCCACCAACAAGGAGCAAAGTAGTGGTGAAAAAAGTAAAAATGCCCATAAAAACTGTAAAATGCAAAACTGAAAATTTTTATGTATCTCCACATGGACCCAACGAACCTCCATACCAAAGTTGGTGAAGATCCATCCACACACTATGAAGTAGTTACATGGACAGACAACAGACAGTATTATTATATTTCTATAGATTCTGTTACTATTTGTAGTTATTCTAAAAAGAAAATAACACAGGAAATATAAAGTTTTGCTGAAAATAAACGTCAAGGATGTTATATACGTTTTGCAAATGAAATTTGAAAACTGTAAGATGAAAAAACGACTTGTAATGTTTAATAAAAGCTTGCCAACTTTCACAAATATTTATTTAGTACATTAGAAGTTATAGTGTATGTAGTTTCATGGTTACTTGAAAATTAACTTGAGTGGTACCCTCCCTGGTGCTGCTTGACACAGGCTAACCAACTTTGTAGAGATTTTGTATCTTCTTTTTATTTAGACTGCTTTTTACCTCATAAACCATTTACACATACAGATGTTGTGTGTGGTAGTTTGTCTAGCTGTGTTACCACTATTTTTTTCGCAACTCTGGAACCTTTGTCACTTGTTGCACATACCTTGGCCATTAATGTGTATTCTGTATCTTCATTTTCATTTAAACATTTTGTATGGCTACTTAAGTGTCAGTTTTTAGTTATCTTTTGTAGTCTCTCACTGCTTGCTTATTATAAGAAAAGTGACAAAACTTTTTCTCTGTTTAGACATACCCATCGCCTTTATGATAATTTTAGTCTTCTTTCTGAATACATTTATACATTATTAATTTCTAAGTATGTGTATCTTGTTGCTCCTGACATAGTTAATTATAGGCCTTTGCAAGATTCTAACTTGTGGGTCAAATTGAAACATGGTGTTTGTTGTGTTTCCTGACATTCTTTTGTCACCAATGTTTTTTATTCTCTTTCGGTTTCCAGTGACTTTGTTTCCACAGAGGGCTGAATTTTATTTCTCTGGATTTGGAAAGTTAGTTGGAAGCCATTTGTATGCAATAAAATTCTGGGTTTTTTTTCTAACTGTTTCAATATTTTGAGCTGAGATAAATTTCATAAGTTTCCTGGTTTTGTTTTTATGTTGTCAGTATTATCACAACAGGTAAATGAACATTTTCAGTATTATTAGCTAGTAATTTAAATCCGGGACACAGTAAATGTAATATAACCATGGAATGTAAGTTAAAGAAACACTTGAAAATATTACTGTGCTGTCTTGGAATAAGCCTGGGGATAATGTTTCATTCCCTTCCTTAAACAAGGATAACTATTAGAAATATTTCTTCTAAGATATTTATTGAAAGATCAGTACAAATATTTTGTCTGCTGACATATGCAGAATTCATATGAAATAAGTTCATGTATGTTCTACTTAATAAATAAGCATTAATTTTTATGTGTTATAAATACCATAATCTTTGAATTGGGATTAATGTTTTTTTGCCAAGAAAAATTTTAAAAAACATTTATTTATTTTAGTTGATAATGAATGACTGTTTTGTACTGTGCTGTATTTTTATCAATATATATTATTCTTGATAGCAATCCATATCAAAATATTGCATTCTATTCAAATTTCAAATAAAATATATTATTTAATTTCAAATATGATTTAATGGTAAACTTTATATTATGTAGGTATTTTAGAAATGACATGTTAGTTTCCTTTAAGCATTAAGTATATTAAGAAAATTCTTATTCTCCAGCTTGGTGTACGCACCTTTGATGAAGAACGTAACTCCTTAGTTGTTATCAGTGAATTGGCACCTTCAACATCAGAAGCTATTGATGCAGAAATAAAAAGACTCTTAACGGTAAGAATCTGGTGTAATGAACAAAGTGAAAACATAATTTCATTCTTAATTTATGTGAATAAAAAATCTGTACTTGTGATTGAGTTTCTTTTGTAATTCTCATTCCATTTTTCTTTTTTTCAAGACAGTGTTTAAGGCTTCATTTTAAGTCATTCATCGGATCTGCATTTTTGGCCCTAAGAGAAGGCTTGAACTGCAATTAATTATAATTGGTCAATGAAAAGTTTGTTGAAATCTTTCTCTTTTAAGCTTCTCTTGAATATAGTTTCAGATGTTGCTAGTTTCTTGGTCTTGGTTGACCTTTGGTTTATTTATCTTTATTCTGAGAGCTTCATTAAATTTTCCAAATTTCTAGTGCTATGCAGCATTTAAAGTATTGTACTTGCCCCATTCAGGTCATTGTTCTGTTTTTTAAGAGTGTTCAGCAATGGTGAATTTTCCTGAGTGTTAGGTCTTATTGCAATAGTATGTAGTCTATAATTTATTATCCTTCCTGTTTCTCCAATGTAGATTTTGCTGTAACTGCATGGGACACTGTAACTTGTATGTTTTTGTTTACTAAGAATACCAAGTTGTTAGATTTGATACAAATTCTGATTTGAAGTTTTACCAATTCTCCTGAATTTGTAGCTTAAAGTTATGGCAAATACAAATATTAAGGGAGATGTTGGTTAAAGATTTTTCCAAGTGGGTTACTTAGAAGGCCTTATGTTCTAGTGAATGTTTAATGTACTGCTTAGGGTAACTGTTAGTTTAAAAAGTCTTGTTGGTAAGACATATTTCTTGTTTTAAACTTTGTCCATCACAGATTTTTCTGCTTTCATTTCAAAGTTTTTAATAATTCCATGATTTAATATTGTAGGTGTTTGAATCTGTAATGTAGGTACTGAAAGGTATTTTACTGTAGTGCGTAAGTTTGAGACCACTACTCGGTCTCCTGTGCAAAAGGTTTCCAAGATGAAATGTATTAGTAATGCTAATCTAAAACCATTATTTATTTAAATACTGTCAAAATCATGTGATTGGTGTAAATTAATTCTAAAAAATGAGTTGCAAGAATTGTCAGAACTGGCAATAATTATGTTCCTGAAAACTGGTACACATAGCTTTTAGATGTTGTAATGCTGTGGCTATTATACTGATGCCCAGCATCAAATAGCATTACATACATTTATTAATTTTCTGTTATAAATGTATTAAAACAATTTTTCCTTGATCTTTAGAATTATTATTTTCTTTTGTTCATTATGTTTCGAAGTATAAATATGGCTCCAAGATTCACAGTTTCTGATGAAATAGGACATAACATAATAGCTATATATAAAGAGGGGCTACAGTCAGTGAGAAATTTTTGCAAAACTGAAGTTAAAAAATAATAGGAGACATGACAAGAGCTTGTCTGGAAGACCACCTAAACTTTCTACATCATATGTTAAGTACCTCAGACTTACATCACTCGGAGAAGCCCCCCAGTGGCATAGCAGTATGTCTGTGGACTTACAATGCTAGAATCCGGGTTTTGATAACCCTGGTGGGCAGAGCACAGATAGCCCATTGTGTAGCTTTGTGCTTAATTACAAACAAACACTCAGAGAAAGATGTAAATCTTGCAGCCACCTTTCTGCTCCACCAATGTTATTAAAGTTGACAAAAAGCACTGAAAGGGTGAATTGTAGAAAGAAAATCTTTGTTCTGGAAAGGCAAAAAACACAAAAGACTTAAGTTTATAAAAACCCAAAAAATGGATATCTTGTATATGTAAAAAAAGTACTTTGGTTTTATGCACCAAAGTTTGAGGTTTTAGGAACAAAAAGTAGCCAGTACATTCACTTCAGTATTAATTAGTGATTAAAGGAAAATCATTTGCAACTTTCTGTTAGGTTTGGTGTACAAAACATCCAAGTTTAGGGTTACTTAAATACAACTAGATTGGTGGAGACCTGAATTCTGTCGAATATAAACAAATACTCATTCATCATGCTATTCCTTCTGGGCATCATTTAGTGAGAGAAATTTAATTTTCCAGCATAATAACAAATTCAAACTTTCAGTATAAAACAATATCTTTGTAAGAAAGAAGCAGATGGAACTCTTGCATGCTTAGAGTGGCTTCTGTAGAGCTCAGACTTCAATATTGTTGAGTGTATGGGGATTATCTTAACTAAAAACAGAGATAGCCAAAATCAAAGGAGGAACTCTGGGCAATACTTCAAGATGCCTGGAATCCAATTCCCTCTGAGCTTTAAAATGCTTGAAAAAACATTCCTCATTAGTTTCAAGACAGTAATTTCAGCTAAGGGTGGTCAAATCATAAAATAATAAAGAAATAAACTAAATTTGCTTTATGTGCATTTGTTTTGCTTTCAGATATTATGAAGTTCTGAAATACCTTCAGTACAAGAAACTCAATATTTTGAATTTAAAATACATTGTAATGATTGTGTGATCTCTAATTTATCAACAGTACTGTATTTGAATATTGATAAATACCAGTTGACAGTCTGACTCAAGTTGGACAATAAACTGAATATTTTTATTGAGTGAGTTTAATTGATAGATGATGAATATGTCTCTCACGTACATGTGTAGCATTTCCAATGCTATGGCTTCAAGTTTTTAAAATTTCTATAGCTATGATTCAAATTTTGTTTTTTGACTAAATGCAGACTTGATGAAGGATTCGGCATGGAGCCTGAAACATCACAAAATCACTAAAAACAACAGAAGTCCATAGAAAACTCAGTCCCTACGTTGAACACACTGCCTAAAGCCACCTTAAAAGAAAATATGTACCATTTTTAGAAATCCAAGCATTTTCTGTTTCCACTCATTATATAATAAAATTTAAGCTCAATTCCAAAGATATTAAATATTGTATACAAACTTACTGAATTGGAAACATGTGGTATACATGAAAGATAGTTTACTATAAGGTCCAATAAGTATGATTAAAGTAACATTTTGAAAACAAAGGTTTTTTTCTGTGCTATCACACATCTCATATGATTAATTAGCCCAGAAATGTTTAACCCTTTCACAACAGCCTCAGTATAATATACACAAGTTCATATACACATTTGCACACATTAAGTATTTATACAATAACTTTTAATGCAGTAAGTGTATCTTCACAAAATTTTATATACTTTTAGTAAAGATTAAAAGTCTTTCATACACAAAAAATCAGATTTTTAATGAAGTATGTTTATTATAGATTTCTTTGTGAAAATATCAAGTCTGTTTCGTTACCAGTCCAAGTGCTAAGTGATTTTCATGTTATAACTAAAAAACTATTGTTTGTCCCATAAATCTCAAATAATATTTGTGTAATCTCTAAAATCTCCTAAATACATTTCTAATGTTTGTTTTCAGTAAAACTTTATGATTTTTCTGTTATTTTCTCTACCCTAACTCTATGGGGTCTGTCAATTTGACCGGCTTAGGAACCACCACAAGAAATTAAGAAATAAATTTAAATTATGCTTTTTTCATTCCAGAATGACTACAGATTATAACACAAAAACACAAATGTTTAGTTTAAATAGCTTAAATCTCGTAACATTATACATTTATATATAATAATATTTTTATTATATTGACCTTCTAGCCATGCCTGGCTAACAATACAGAAGATACAATGATGTGGCATATGTGCACATATGATACCATATCCAGTAATATAAAACTGACCTTTAGTCTTTACAAAATGACCTATCTTGGCTGTTACCTTGGACATAATAGTATGTATTTAAGATGTGTTGCAATCAATGGAGTAGAATGATACAAAATTAACATGCATAAAATAAATACATAGAAAATATATATAAACAAACTAATACACATTTGAAAAACATGTGGACTCCACTTTTATGTGCTGAAAACTTGAATTTTGATTCTCAAAACTGTATGTAAACAGGAAAAACTTGAATCTCAGATTGCTTAAAACTTTGTGAGTACAGGCCTTTTTTTTAAGAAAAAACCCATATGCAAGTGCAGTATGACAGGGATGCAGCAAGGAAACATTAACTCTTTAATGCTACGAATATTCGAATTACATTAGCAAAATTTTTGGTTTTATCAAAACCATAAAAAAAAAGAAACTACACAACACTAGATTCATTTTGATTTTCTTCATCACTTTCTTCAAGAAGCTCATCAGAATCATCTGAGCTGACAGTGTAAACCACCTTGAAATGATCTCTTTCCAATTTTGATTCCAAGATCACAACTCTTCTCAATGGTTCTACAAGTTTAGTTTTTCATCATTTCTCAAGATGTATATCAACTGCTTCCTTGATACTTGGTAACCACATTAGTGCTTCTAGTGGAAGCTCCTCCTACTGGTATCTTGATGCTTCCTTTTATTACTGGATCTGTTAGTATGGTGTCCTTGTTTCTGGCACAGATTTTACAACAAATAAAGTTCACATATGTTCTACCTACTTCTTCTGTGGTTTTATATCCAATAATCTCTGATTTCTTGTAACTTTGAAACATTTTCAAATCCATTTTATTGCCTTTGGCTGTCTTCTCTGTTTACTTCATGAATGATCACAATGAATTAAATATCTATTCTTTACTGCTTAACACATTTTTATAGATAACATGTTTCTGGTTTCCTTACGAGCATTTAAAATTGTAATTTGACATATGACTGAATATAGCCTTTCAAACATGTGACAAATAGCATGAGTAATTAGGTTTGCACATGTGTCTGTGTATGCGCATGTGACTGTATGCATCAAATGAAAAACGTCTTATGCTATATTGTTTTTAATTTTGAGCTACTTTTGATGTAATCCTGATTTAAGTTTGAATCTGAATACAATTTTTAATTTTGCAATAATTATGATTATCTTAACTTGAATATTTTTTATTGGTGTTTTTGAATTTATTTATGGTGTTTATGTTTAATTTTATTTATATTCAAGTTTTGTAATGCTGAGTTCATTTTGTATCATTAATTTAACCCTTTGTGTGGGTGAGGTTCAAAACATGCA